TGCTAGGTATTGCTTTTATCCCCCCTTCACAGATAAGACAATTGAATCATAGAGAAGTTACATGTTAGGAAACCAGAGCTAAGACTGGATTCTGAACAGGCTTCAGAGTTCAGTCAACACTTTTGATGCTGCCTCTCAGCATGTTGTAGGGTCAAACGAGGCAAGGCATTGAAGACAGCAGGAAACGGTTTTATTTGGCGGCAGCCAGGCTCAGAGGGCACAACTTTTGCTGTAATCAATTAATCCCCTGAACCCCGAGTTCAGGGAGTTTCAGAGTTTTATATCAGGCATGTAAGGAGAGGGGCTCAGAAGTTCACAGTCTGCAGAAGTTCACATAAAAGCAGCTTTTTCTTTCACTGTTTTGGGCAAGTTAACCCTTCAAGGACAACACCAGAGGAGGGGAGAGCTTCTTCTCCCCTTTCTTTCCTCCCCCTGCCAGCTGTTACCATGGGCCCAGTTGTAACTTACCTTAAAAATGTAGACATCTCTGTGAAGCCCAGCTCAAGGCCAGAGGCCTTGTTTTGCACATTTCTACAAAGTACTATACTGGATATGTTTGTGAAAACTAGTAAGGGGGTGTCCAGCACCTGGAGTGCTGGTATCTTCTCAGCCAGTGGCCAAGTAAAGAGGGCGACAGGAAAATAGGAAGTTTATCTACATTGAACTCTTTTGCAGAGACTCTTTTGCTGACAGTCCTAAAATCAGCCATGGAGAAGCAGGCTTTTCTGTGGAGAAAGCGGGGGGTGGGGGTGTGGGGGTGCCACTTTAAGCACAGAAAAAATGCTGGAGGAACATTTCTTCAAAGCACCAACAATGGGGCTGGAGGTGCATCTAGTGGTGGGGTTCATGATGAGCATACACGAGGCCCTTGGTTGGCTGTCCAGTATCCCTCTGTCACCGCCCCCAACACCCAAAAGTTTAACCATGGTTATATCTGGAAGACGATATGTTGTGTAAGTTTTATGTTATTTTTAATCTGCCTTTTTATAGTTAAAGTGTTATTTAACAAGGCAAAACTTCAATGAAAATGTTTAAAATACAAGATTTCTGCTGCAGACTTCAACCAGAATCTCTGAGGGGCTGGGGTTGCGGAGCACTCGCTAGCACATGCACCGCACAAAAATAAATAAAAATGAAATGAAAGATATTGTGTTCATCTACAACTAAAATACAAAAAAAAAAAAAAGAATCTCTGAGCCTCGGTTTCTTCATCTGTAGAATAGCAGTCACACTATTGGGTAGAGCTACCAGTTGGACAGAATAAAATAATGGATATGAAAGCACTTTGAAGGTGTAGATTGAGAGCAGGTTAAAAGCACAGGGGCTATTACAATATTAAGTAGAAAGTGATAAGCAAATATGTTTCCAAGAATTCAGAGATGGATGCTGAGCAAACACTGGAAGCTTGAGTGGTTTCACATCTTCTTGATTCTCTTTGGTGCCTCCCACTTTTATTTTTCTTCCTTTCTTAATTTACCTTTTAAAGTTTTCGGTGCTGGGGATGGAACCCAGGATCTCACATATGCTAGGCAAGTGCTCTGTCACTGCGCTGCACACCCAGCCCTGCCCCATTATTCCTGCGCTGGGGATTGCATGTGTCCTCCTTCATGCCGTAGGTATGAACAGGTGGGAGACAGGCATTGTCACAGTCTTACACATAAGTAGATGACTCCTCTTTTCCATTTTTGTCCCTCTACCAACCTAGTTGCCAGTCTCAGTTTTTCTTGGTCATTCTTCTCAAGTTTACTGCCCAACTCTGGGCTCACCTAGCTTCTGGTCTGAAGGGCCAGATGCTCAGAATCATAAGTGGGTCAAAAAATGAACAGTTGAGACAACAGACTAGCAAGGAGCCTGATGCAGAGCCTGGGAGTTCACCTCTGTGATTAACACTTTTCAAAACAAATCTAAACCAGGCCCGGTGGTTATCCCAGTGACCTGGGAGGCTGAGGCAGGAGGCCAGCCTGGGTAGTTTAGTGACATCCTGTCTCAAAATAAAAAATAAAAAGGACTGGGGATATAGCTCAGGGGTAGAGTTCCCCTGTGAACAATTTCCAGCAAAGGGGGTGGGGGATAGTCTAAATAACCCAGGATGTTCAGGAGCTATTTTGTCACTCTCTTGTTGTTTGAGAATTACAGAAGAGGGACTTTCTCATATATGCAGCACTGCACAAATTACCCTTAGAAAAGCTTAGAGCAGTAGTTTGCAACTAGAACAAAAACATTGGGAGTAGTGACTTAAAATACCCATGTGCACATCCCCAAGGATTCTGATATTCTGGGATGGTGTTTGAGCCTCAGAATCCTTTAAAGATCTTGAATGTTGAACTCCTGGGTCAGAGTCACAGGAAGTATGGGAGGTGAGCACAGACTTCCTGTGTCCCATGGAGTAATTGGATTGAGATGATTGTCATGGCCAAAAACAGATTTGCAACTTCTTCAGTGAGTGAGCTTATAGAAGGGAGCCACAGATGCTTCCCCAGGAAACAAACTCGTAATGTGGGGAGGGATGTGTGTTTTGATACCAGTTTGGCAACAGAACCCAAGCCCTGAAGCTCATCCAAATATGGGGCAGGTGTTCCATTTTACCCTTTGGCAGATTCCAAGAATTTGCTGCTTCTAACTGAAATAAGCCATCAGCTGACAGACTTGCAATCATTCAAAGTTGACACTCAAAATTCATAGATGAGTTTGAAGAAGAAAAAGGACCAAACCAGCCTTTATTTTGAAATAGACACACTCACAGGGAAATGACCTAGCCTGAAAGCTGGTTAGCCTGACCAGAGATCAGATACCAAGGTGTGACAACCTGGCACTTGTGGTGTCTCAAATAACAAACACTGCAACTTGCTTCAGCTTGCAACTTGCCCATCCTCCAAAGCTGGACTTTTAGAAACAATTTCTTTGTGTCCAACTTTTTTGTTTTTCTCTCCTTCCTTCCTTCCTTCCTTCGTTGGATGTAATACCTTCATTTTATTTATTTATTTATTTTTATGTGGTGCTGAGGACGGAACCCAGTGCCTTGCATGGGTTCCATGCAAGTGCTCTTCCACTGAGCCCCAGCCCCAGCCCCAGCCCCAGCCCCAGCCCCTTTGTGTCTGGCTTCTACTTACAGACTAGGAAATGTTGATGTGATAGTTTCATAGATTTTGACTCCCACTGATACATAATCACAACAGATTCTCCTATGAAAAATTTTATCAAGTGCGTGAGTCCCTTCCTTTTAACTCTGTTCCATGGGGACAGAGGTCACAATGTCTATAACCTGCACCTCCTTAGCATTAGCAGGTTAACTTTTTTTTTTTAATATTTATTTTTTAGTATTTGGCGGACACAACATCTTTGTTGGTATGTGGTGCTGAGGATCGAACCCGGGCCGCATGCATGCC